GTGCATTTTCAAAATTGACTAAAGCAGGTAATCAAAGTCAGGTGTTCTGTATGTGCACAAGCAGAAACACTTAAAAGTTTACATTTATTTTGATGATACTCTCATTCACTGCTGTAGAATGAACTATGTGAACAGGCCACTAGATCAATCAGATTCAATTGGTAACTCCTGAGAAATGAATTCTCTTGATTGTTTCTTACAAATACTACATGGAGTTGCTATCCCACATCAAATTCCTTTGTTTGGGGAAGGAGTGGGGGTCAGTTTCCATGAAGAGTCCAACTCTAGCATTTTCTGAGAGCTACAATCTTCCTCCCTCCCTCCTACCCTGTGTGTGTGTGTCTTGTCCAGGTTTCCCATTTTGCTTACCTGAGGAACACAGTCATGTTTATAGGGGAATCCAGAAATTCCTCCTTGGGAATCAGAAGTGCATTGAGGGAGCTGGTGGCACAATTATATTTCTGGTGCTCCAAACCCCAACAGGTGAATGCAAGTTTCCTGCAGGAGAAAACTGACTAGGTGGGATCTAGGACCTCTCTGAGGACTTCTTAAATGAACAGTGCAAAGAAAAAGAAGAAAACAATAGAACAGGAAGGACCAGAGATCTCTTCAAGAAAATTGGAGATATGAAGGGAATGTTTCATGCAAAGATGGGCATGATAAAGGACCAAAATGGCAGGGACCTAACAGAGGCAGAAGAGATTAAGAAGAGGTGGCAAGATTACACAGAGGAACTATACAAGGAAGAGCTTAACGTCCCTGATAACCACAATGGGGTGGTCACTGACCTTGAGCCAGACATCCTGGAATGTGAAGTCAAATGGGCCTTAGGAAGTCTGAGCAACAACAAAGCTAGTGGAGGTGACAATATTCCAGCTGAGCTATTCAAAATCCTAAAAGACAATGCGCTTAAAGTGCTACACTCAATATGCCAGCAAATTTGGAAAATTCAACAGTGGCCACAGGATTGGAAAAGGTCAGTTTACATTCTGATCCCAAAGAAGGGCAATGCCAAAGAATGTTCAAACTACCACATCATTGCACTCATTTCACATGCTAGCAAAGTTATGCTCAAAATCCTACAAGCTAGGCTCCAGCAGTATGTGGACCGAGAACTACCAGAAGTACAGGCAGGATTTCCAAGAGGTAGAGGAACTAGAGATCAAATTGCCAACATATGCTGGATCATGGAGAAAGCTAGGGAGTTCCAGAAAAACATCTACTTCTGCTTCATTGACTATGCTAAAGCCTTTGATTGTGTGGATCACAACAAATTGTGGAAAGTTCTTAAAGAGATGGGAATACCAGACCATTTTATTTGTCTCTTGAGAACCTGTATGCAGGTAAAGAAGCAACAGTGAGAACTGGATATAGAACTACTGATTGGTTAAAAATTGGGAAAGGAGTACGGCAAGGCTGTATATTGTCGCTCTGCCTATTTAACTTATATGCAGAGCACATCATGAGAGAGGCTGGGCTAGATGAATCACAAGCTGGAATTAAGAGAAATATCAACAGCCTAAGATAAGCAGATGATATCACTCTAATGGCAGAAAGTGAAGAGGAACTAAAGAGCCTCTTGATGTGGGTGAAAGAGGAGAGTACACTCAACATTAAGAAAACTAATATCATGGCATCTGGTCCTATCACTCCCTGGCAAATAGATGGGGAAGAAATGGAGGTAGTGACAGATTTTATTTTCCTGGGCTCCAAGATCACCATAGATGGGGACTGCAGACAAGAAATAAAAGACGCTTGCTCCTGGGGAGGAAAGCTATGACAAATCTAGACAGCATACTAAAAAGCAGAGACATCACCCTGCCAATAAAAGTTCATATAGTAAAGGCTATGGTATTCCCAGTTGCAATGTATGGCTGTGAAAGATGGACTATAAGGAAGGCTGAGTGCTGAAGAACCGAGGCCTTTGAATTGTGGTGCTGGAGGAGACTCTTGCAAGGCCCTTGGACAGCAAGGCGATCAAACTGGTCAGTCCTAGAGGAGATCAACCCTGACTGCTCTTTAGAAGGCCAGATAGTGAAGATGAAACTCAAATACTTTGGCCACCTAATGAGAAGGAAAGACTCCCTGGAGAAGAGCCTAATGCTGAGAACAATAGATGCCAAAAGAAGAAGGGGAAGGCAGAGAATGAGGTGGATAGATGGAGTCACTGAAGCAGTTGCTGTGAGATTAGGTGGACTCTAGGGGATGGTGGAAGACAGGAGAGCCTGGAGGAATGTCATCCATGGAGTCAGGCATGGCTTTGTGACATAACATAACATTCATTTTTGGTGTATAGTTACCACTATGAGGCGTACATGCTTGTATGCTTAACACATGGTTCATCCCACCTGAACCACCAAATATTTTTATTTATTTATTTATTTTTTGGTTTATATCCTGCCTTTTTCCTACAAAGGGCTCAAGGCAGCTTACATCTCCTCCTCCATCTTATCCCCACAACAACCACCCTGTGAGGTAGGTTGGGCTGAGAGTCTGTGACTGGCCCAAAGTCACCCAGTTGGCTCCAGGGCTGAGCGGGGACTAGAACCCGGGTCGTCTGAGTCCCAGTCCCATGCTCTTAACCACTATGCCACACTGGCTCTCAGTGGCAGGCTCTCACTGGCATGCCCATTTGTTCCTTTGGGCCATTTATAGCAAAATTCATATTGCTACTGATGGTCATATCCCAATCTGGATTCTTACTGCACATGGCCTGATGGTCAGGCTGCTGGAGCTAATTGGGTTCAATGGCTTTCCCACTGTTTGTCCAGTTAATTCATGGTTCATTGCACAGAGATTTTGTTCCCTGTGATATTAAAAAACATCACCACATACACATGCACTTAATAAAGGACATTGAAATATTTAAGTTCAATTACAATAAACAAAATAAGCATAGTACTTACTATTTCTAATCCTTGAATGTGTAATAACATTTATATTTAGGATCTTCTACTGAGGTCCTTGAAGAAGGTTAGAAGTGTGGCTACCCAGAGAAAGGGCCTTTTCTGCGGTAGCACCCTGTCTCTGGAATCTGTTTCTCAGAGAGGTGTGCCTGATGCCATGCTTTATTCTTTTTGGTGCCAGGCCAAACCCTTTTTATTTTCCCAGTATTTTAAGGGTTATTGGGTTTTTTATATTGGAATTTTATTTCTGTACATGCTATTTTAATGTGCTATTATTGTTCTGTGAGCTTTCTTGAGACCTGCTGCAGGTATAAATGGAGTAAGAAAGTAAGTAAGTAAGTAAATAAAGTTAAAAAAGAGAAACAAATAAAAGGGGGGGGCACTTAATTGCCTTTTTGACAAAGATTTTATCAACCTCCCCCAAGCCACAGCCAATGCCAACAACTCCACTGATGCCCTAGGGCATGTTAGAACAACTATGATTGTGCCCAAGCATCACATTGGAGAGGATCCTAGTGGTTTACTGCCCTGTTTTTTATGAACCCCAAATTAATTTCCTTCTTTAACAAATGGTTTGCCAGAACTGCATAATTTCAGGAGTGTAGATATCTGCATTTCCAAACTGAAAATAGAAAGCTTCATTTCAACAATGCCCTGGGAGGTTTCTACTGCTAAAAATGGAACCAACCAAGATAGGCTTCAAGTTGGCTTGCTAGTTTGTTGTAAGAGGTCTAGAAGGCTCAATGCAAGACTCAAGTATCCCATCCAGATTCTAAGCAGGCCTGATCCTGCTTTCTTTCCAACATTAGGCAGGATCAAGCACTTCAAACTATCTGGAAACATTCTTTGCTTATGAAAAGTAGGTGCAGAAATTTATCCTACCTTGGCATTGGGATCTTCAAGATTGCTTGTGCTTCCCTGATAAGCTTTCAGCACCTCAAACTTTTCCACCATTTCCAGAAGCTCCAGGTGTTTAGGAAGCAGGGAAAATGCAACCCACCTCCTTTTATTGGAACCAGGAGTTTTGAAATATAATTGCTTTTTAAAAGGGCTTTAAAAACAAAAAACAAGACTTCCCATTTTCACACCAGTGGAAACACACAGAATTGCATATCCAGAATTATGCAGTTCCAGCTTTTTAAAATGAAATTTATGCACAAAGAAAAACTAAACATAGGAAACCACAGACAGCCCTTCCAATTGGCTTCTTGGGAACTTTCGAGGGGCAGTAGCTATCAAAACAGACTGAAAAACAATGTCCAGACCAAAAAAGAGGAAAAAAGGGGAAAAGCTACAGAGAAGCAAAATAGCTCCTCACTTGAGCCTGAGCCGCAAAGTCCCCTGGGATGCTGCTGGACTGAAGGAGAAGGCAGGGCATGACAATCTACAGGTGTGTCTGATCATCTGTGAGGCACACCATGGAACAACAACAAACCCACAGTGGTTTTATTGCCAAGTGGATTGATGTGGCATGCAAACCTGCTCATTGAGCTTCACAAGAATGCCAATGATTCTCCAAGTGCAAATGAAACCCATGTTCATATCTACTTCAATTCTGCCTCAATAGTTTGTAATATTGCATTCATAAGAAAGACTAGACTGACAATATGTTTTCAAAATAATATCTCACTATTCGTTATGCATTTCTTTCAACAGCAGAGGAAACATCTACTATTTTAAATGTGAGAGTCAGATAAATCTATATTCTTCCCTGAAAAAGCAAATAGACGTTTGCTGATGCTTAAAATGCATATGAAAACAACTTTTACAGCCCTGTAAACTGCTTTCATGTTTGACAACAAGCCTCCCAGTGAAAAAGTGTTTTTAATGTTACCTCAGAAACAGTCCCCCCATTTTAAATATTCATTGAACCCTATTAGAAATATGGGAGCCCCCCACCTCCCCCAGAACTGCAAACAAGTTCAGAATGATGTCAGACAAGCAAGAGAGGGAGTTTGTTTGTGAAGACAAATTGAAGCATGTATATGAGAGACAGATAGGGAAAAAGTAGTAGAGATGGGAAATGTAAAATTTGAAGCTATGGGAAAAACTGTCTTTTCCTGGGATTTTTAAAGACTTTTTCACTCTCCAAACTAATAAATTAAATAAAATTTATTATTTTCAAAACAACAAAATGTGATATTAGCACCTTTTACAGATCAGAAGTAACTTTGTTACTTAGAAACATAAAAGTACAATTTAGATGGCATAAAATTATCAAGCTTGGCATATTAAAAGCAGAGTTTATTTGGATAATAATTAAAATTGAATTTACTCTTAATTTTTTATTTATTTTGTTTGTGTCCTGAACTGTAAGGAACCTCTTTGGATTTTCCAGTTCATGAGGACCAGGCAAAACACAGAGGAAACCATCAATATTAGTAAAACAAAGAAAATTATGTTGCCCCTAGCTTCTCTTTCACATTGTTAAGCAAATATAAAGCACTAATTTTCAAAGGAGATCCCATATTTAAAACTTCAGCCTGCTGTGTTTTACTACAAAGCTTCAGTGTCACTATTTTTTTCTTTGCATTTTTCCTCTTACTTTATTTGAAGACTGAAGATATGATTTAAGTAGATTGTACATACTTTCTAACTTCTTTTGCTTGTCCATAGATCTTTTCCAGGGTGTCCAGTTTCACGATGCCATTAAAAAGCAGGTTTAGCCAATTGCACTAATATGTAGATACTTCATCTCAATGCTTCCCCATGCTGTTTTCATATTACTTGTACTGTCAGTCAGCAGAGCAAATGCTTTACTATTCAACATTTTCTGTAGGACTGCACATATTCAACAACTGATATATTCTGCAGTATATCCCTTCCCTCCCTTTTCAACATTTTTGTAAAAAAGTTGGTATTGTTACCATGAAGTTTATGGTTCTTCCTTCCTTCCATCAACCTTTAAGTGCTGAATCAGTACTTTGTTGATTTTCCCCCGTACAGATTCTATTATAGGTTCATATTCTGCCTGTAAAAGAGGTTTGCTCAAAGAATGTATGCTGGGCGAACTTTATGATAGTAATTTAATAGGTTCCTACCAATATGCATTTTCTGCTATTGATAGTGGAGTTCAGAAGATCATACTGCATATGCAAGATCTTGGTTACTTTTCTCCTGATCTTCAGCTGTCATCTTATCTACAAATGAAGTTATTAACTATTTCTTTGGATGCAGTTGTTTTCAATCTTCATTTACTTGAGAAGCTGTTGCTGATAGGGAAACTCTTTGTGATGATGTTGGTGTTACGGAAGGAACAGAAAGAGGACTTCTGGAATGAAAACATTGAGAAAAGCTAGTTGCATATTCATCACTATGCACATTCATATCAATTCATAAAGGATATTTTAAGTCTGCAGGACACTTACATGGTACAAGAATATGTTTTGTCATCCTTATAGTATTTGAAAATGCATAATTCATTTGACAGTATTTGAGTTTTTCCTCAGTAGAACTTGCAATGTGGAAATGCCTCCAATATGCTAGATGTTGGTCTTATCATTTTGCTGAGGATGGAGAAAATGGCAAGGCACTAATGTTCTGCATCTAGGAAGAATAAACCATACGAATTGTTACAAGATGGAAGACAGTTGGCTCAGCAATACTGCAGGTGAGAATGATCTTGGAATTGTTGTAGTTCACAAGCTGAATGAGTCAACGAGGTGACGTGGTTGCAAAAAAAGGCAAATGCTATTTTGGGCTATATTTATTTATTTATTTATTTATTATTTTTTCTGTTTATTAACACAAGTAGCACTTCCAAATTGCATGATATTCTAGTTCCCCTATACTCAGCACTGGTTAGGCCTCATCTGGGCATCACAGCTTAAGAAAGATGGAGGCAAAGAGGAAAGGGTTCAGAAAAGGGCAACAAAGATGATCAGAGGGTTGGAAACAAAACCCTGTAGGAGAGGTGGAAAGAAATGGACATGTTTAGCCTTGACAGAAGACTGAGGGAAGATATAACAACACTCTTCAAGTACTTGAAAGGTTGTCACAGAGGTCAGGATCTCTTCAGGATCATCCCACAGTGCAGGGTATGGAATAATGGGCTCAAGTTACAAGGAGCTACACTCCAGCTGAAGAACTTTCTGACTGTTAAAGCAATGTGATAATGCAGCTAATTACCTAGGGAGATGATGGGCTCTTTCATACAAGAGGTATTCAAGATGCAGCTGGACAGTTGTCTGAGAAGGATGGTTTAATTTGAAGTCCTGCATTGAGCAGGGGGTTGAACCTGATGGCCCTTCCAAATCTACTATTCTTTGATTTTATGAAAGAAAAAATACTGCCTAGCTTAAAAGTAAATGCTAAGTTATGAAAATGAGGGTTTGCAACTAAGTATCAGCTTAGTAGGGTTATGGAGACTAACACAGTTAAATTTAAAATCTTACCTTTTATATAAGTATACTTTTTTTTGCTCTGTACTTTCTTCCAGTCCTTTGAGGCCTAGCCAAGAGGACAGAAAGAGTCCCATAGAGAAGGAATGTATCTTGCTCTAGCATTTACAAATAGTCTCAGTTTACAACCTAGGACTTGAGTGTTCTTGTTGCACAAGACTTGAAATGAACCGATAGCATATGTAGTCTTACAGAAACAAATACTGAAAACGTTTTGGAAAATATTTTGAACTAGAGGTTTCCTTCATATAATATGTATACAAGGATACTGTCCCTCACAAAAAGACAAAAATAGAAAAAGGATCCTTCTCACTGAACTTCTGTCCAAAATATCTCAAAAGAGCTTTCCTGGATAGTGGTTTTCATCACCATGCATAGAAAAACTAAAAGGTAACAGTAGTCTGTAATATGTAAGGAATTGCATTTACCCAGCGGTATCTGCACAACAAAGGCTATTCAAATTTAGTTCTCATGCAGCCTTCCTTCCTTCCTTCCACCCACCCACCCACCCACCCACATAAGGCTCTTGCTCTGTTGCAATGTTAACACCCGTAGTCAGTTTCTTTCTTAAGCCTATTCACTGTGGAGATAACAACAACTCTTCCTCTTCTCCATTTTCCACATTGAATACTGAAAGAAAAACGCTTTATGAACTATATTTAATAGAACTTTTGGCACTGGTTTAGACATTCCTTTGCAGTGTTTGTGCTTTAAGTTGTGCAGCTGAAACATTTAAACTTTGCCCTATTATGTGGCATGGGAACTAGAAGAAAAGTGGATCATAAAATTAACCCTGACATAAACATAACTTTTAATCATTAAATGATTAAATATTTTTGTCATTAAAAGTAATGACAAATATTACTTTTAATTATACAACACAAATACTTTGCTTTAGTTTTTGTTTTAACTCAAGGAAGGTGGCAGGTTTTGGAGAAATCAGCCATTTCAGCCTATCTACATGCTATGTGTCATTGTCTCCCATATACTGATTCTCTGTTTGGAAGAGTGAAGCCATTTTAACTCTCCAGGAGACAGGTATCTGGAATTACAATGAGTGTTTACACATTTTGGACAGCGCTGGCATTGCCCTATCAGTTCTCTTAACTGTTCCAGATTTCCAAAATATAGCTCCCCTTGCCCTTTCCCAAAGTTACAGGAAAGAGTAAGAGCTAAAGAGCCAACATTTATGGAAATAATTTTGGTACATGGAAGGTGAAAAGATACTGACTTTCATATATGAAATATTATTAATTCATCTTATGTAGACTACACATTCAAGATAAATACTTATGGCCAGGATAGAAAACAGATCTCAAAGTGAAAAAAACAGCAGTTAGTTGCAGTCCCAAATTAGTTGGGTTACAGTTCCATTCATACAGTTGGGATATGCTTCCAAATCAGTGAAGTCTGACATATTTGTTTTTCTTCAGAAAACAGAATCTATTAAAATAAAAATTCTAACCCTAAAATAGGCTGCCAGTTTAGAACAAAGCAAGATTGTGCACTCTTTCTGCAGCTTTTCATAGAAAGTGGAAATGATATTTTCAGGATAACAAATTCTTATAAATTACCTGTGAAGCATATGCAAGGATATTACAAGCTGAGGTTCACAAGTAGTCTGAGAACGGATGAGCTTGTTCTTCGTTTGGGCAGCAACTATAGTGCCATCAGACAAAGAAAATCGATAGACAGGACTGAATGCTAGTCCCTGCCTCAGCACTGAAAGCAAGCACAAACAAGAAAATATTAGTAAGGAACCCACACTGCTGCAGGAATATTCACATGAAAGCCTGGACTCTGTCCATTAACATCGTCTTCCTAAGAAGCAAGAAAAATCTGCTATTCCTTTTGCAAAATCAGCAAGGGTGTGTTATAGAAAGAGCTAATGTTTGGCAAATTAAGACCAAAGAGCAAACATAGTAGAAAATAAGGGGGGCAGCTTTGGCAAAACTGGGCATTTACCTGTAGATTTTCTTCTGATTCAGGAAGGACTTCCATCCACTGCAAACACAGGAGACAGTGATTCAGAATTAAAACTAATTAGCCTGGCACAATACTAGTTGCAGCATCCAGATGAAGACTGCAAAGCACACTGACCTGTTCTGCTTCCAAAAACAAACACTGTTAAAGACACCAACAAAGATAAAAGAGGTTGACCACCACAGACCTTGATTCAATAGGTAGATTAGGATCCCCAAACACATGCCAACCTGCACCATGACATAAGCAAGAAAAGTTGCATGCTCTGCCTACATCACAGTCAGGCACTCCTAAATGAACTATAGGCAGTCATACAAATGGAAGGTGTTTATAATCACACACAGCACAAAATAATAATTAATCAGCTATAGAATCTTCCTGAATGACTCCATGCATATGTGCAGAACCCATATGTGTGATGCACAAAGATCAAGATGAAGAACTGCATTCTCCTCTATCCTAAATATACGTAGTACAGGAAAATCCAAGGATCGTACTTATGTCCAAAGACTATCAGATTAATATTAAGATGTATTGGCACTTTTGCTCTTTTGCAACACCTAACTTCTTCTGCTAGGTATATAAATGCATTCTGGAGGGATAGTGAGATACAGCAAAGGTTACTATAATGGGATCTATGCTGGGACCAATTGACGGCAAGAGAAGGGGACGGCAGAGGATGAGGTGGCTAGATGGAGTCACTGAAGCCGTCGGTGTGAGTTTAGGGGGACTCCGGGGGATGGTGGAGGACAGAAAAGCCTGGCGAAATGTTGTTCATGGGGTTGTGATGGGTCGGGCATAACTTCACGAATAACAGAACATAATGCCAAGTTGCCCCCCATTCAAATCTCACACTGACTTTGATTCCACTGAGCAGTCTTTGACAAGGCATTAACCCAGTTCTCATGTAACGATGAACCTATTCGCACATCATGTCAAAATACTTCAGCACCTTCCCCTCTCACATTTACCCAACCTCCTTCCCAGGATGTTGGGAGTAAGAAGGATGGCGGGTTTGGGCAATCATTCCCATGGACTGCTGACTGCATTCTGGACAATGATTCAAAATCAGAAAGTGAAGCACATTTCAGAGCGATTGGGCAGCTGGGGGTCACTCAAGATTTTGAGATGCAGGAAGAGGAGGAGGTTATCTCAAGGCCAGCAGTTTGCCAAAGCAGGCAGATCCTGGGAATTGCAAAGATGTACAGCAAGTGGGAGTGCTCCATGAGGAGAAATTCACAGATGCAGAACAGCTTCCTCCTACCCTGTGCTTGACCCTGTAACTAAGTGTCAGCAGAGATAGGAGACTCAATTGAATAAGCAGCATGTGGAGAGGATGTGTCCTTGCCTTCAGAGAGCCTTTCCTGAGGGAATGGGGTCCAGGCTTCATAAGCAAAGGTTCTGGAGGTAATCACTAGAATGGGTTCTACAAACTGTTCTGTGCAAACGCAGAGATCTGTTATGGATTATTTGTACTTTGGAAGCAATAAAGAAAGTTGCAAGAAAAATGCTCTGTGGTTGGTGATTGTTTGAAGAAGGAACCTTGATCTACAACACAATGTAACATTTAGACTGATGTTCATCAAGGTCCATTTATAGCCTATACAGGAATTGAAACCAGTTTTTGTACTTGCTTACAAATGCTGGATTAGAGGTGAACCTTGGCCAGCATTAACCATGCTTGGTGTTGAGGAAAACATGATTTTGAACAATGGTTATGGGCAGTAAAGAAAGGCTGGGGAAATCCAAGGTGGGACAGAAGAGAGGCGCAATCCTCACTGTTCACAAACCAAATCAAACCAGAGAAGCAGAAGTCAGAGTGGCTATTAAATTGCTTATTTCAAACTTTTTCTTCACTGTGAAACTTTATGAACTAGTTTCAATCTGAATTTTCCTGAACTGACTCAAAACTTCTTGCTTATGGCAGGGTTATCCAGTGAAAACATATTTTTGCCCTGGTCTTTCCTACCTGCAAATTCTGAAGGCATTCCAAAATGTTTATGTCAGGTAAAAAAAGGTTATTTTAACGATTTGTTTTCCACATCCTTATTTCCTCTGGTGCAAAAACACCCATTTTTATTGCTGATCTAGGACCTGCTTGCAGTTTTCCTGTATCAATCACGCAGCCTATCCAGTGACATTCAGATGCTGACAATGCCAGACTGGCTTCCCCACCCCCTCCTCCAGACTTGCGACACTGGTATGGTAGGATTCTTTCCCTGTTTCTGTCTTCAGGTTGTACTAGCACGAAAGACACTTAAAAATTATTATTTTGGCAGAAGGAAAACAGGACGCACACATTAAACCACCAGAGGAGTTTATGAAGAGTTAAGAATGTGAAGAAAAGCAAAGCCTACGTTAACTATGCAATAATATAAAGTAAAATTTCAGACTGAAGGTATGTCATTCTTTTGGCCTAACCTTTGGGCAAAACTCTGCAACAACATGCCTTTTAGTAAGGAACAGGGAATTCCAACACTCCTTTGTCAACAGCTCTGATCGCTAAAGTTTAGCCATTTTTAATACAAAAGAGGTTTCACTCTTCTACCATAGGCTTTAGAATTGTGTGTGTGTTTAAATGCTATTCTGATAAATTATTTCTATATAACATTATAACTTTCATAGTTTTATAATGTATACCAATAAAATAAAAATGAATAAATATTAAACAAACATAGGGTAATAATTTAAATTGAATCTGTTCAGAATCTGGGGTTGCAAGGTGGACAATTCCACCTGTTCTGTTTATGCCTCACAGCAGTCCTGTATAAGATTGTTGTTCCAGGATCTATTTAAAACCAAGTAGAAACAAACTTCTAAGATTACCAGGATTGAAAGCATGTTTTGGAAGACATTTCAATTCAAGTAAATTGGTCACTTCCAGCTCACCATCTTCCTTACTCTTCCAAATATTCCAATGTAGATGTCTAAAGGCTATGTACACTTCAGCCGCAGTTTAATAGAAACCTGATTTTCTGAGAGTTCAGTGCAGTAAAGCTCACTGTAATTCTATCTGCATGCCACTTTAAACAAAGACACCTCTTCCCAATTTGGAAGGGAGTTGCAACACAAATGCTAAATGATATGCATCCTGCAGAATGCAATACACTGTAATAGAGAAGGTTCCAATAAGAACCCTACAGTGTTTTGTTTTATTTCTTTTGTTCATCAGCCATGTCCTGTTTTGTTTTGTTTTATTGTATTTAGTTTATTGCATTTAATGGCTTATTTTTATTGTCATGTTATGATATGTTTTTATTAGATTGTAATCTGCTTAGAGGGCCCTCAGGCCAATTTAGTGGGAAATAAGTTAAAGAAATAAAGAAATAGAATTGAAGGGGAAAAAATTCCTCAAACTTATGCCCCAGTTCAAAGACTCCCCTGTACATGTGCATACCAAGCCCTTTCTTATTAAGCATACTGTATGTAACAGCTGTATTGTCCATGCATTCTTTTTTAGACATGCACAACAGATCTCCATGTAAATTTGCATGGCAAATGTAGTTCTTCATCTTAGCAAGTATACCATTTTATAATTAATAGGTACATGTTACTAATCTACAGTTAGGTCCTTCTTATTAAATTTCAAACTATCAATGTGTAAATGATGCTTAGAATGCATTAGATTAATTTACTTATCAATTTATTTATATATAGATAGGCAAATACATAGATGATCCAAAGCTGGCACCTGAAAATGGTGCTGTCACTTAATCCGAATAATTCCTCTTGGCAGGAAAAAATGCACCATTCATTTTTTAACATACATATACTCTCTAAACATACAGTATATCACAGGAGTACACACCTCACATTTTGTAAATATCTTATTATATCTTTTCATGTGACAACGCTGAAGAAATGACACTTGTAAAGTGGTGAGTATACAGCTTGTATAACAGTGTAAATTTGTTTTCCCCTCCAAATAACTCAACACACAGCCATTAATGTCTGAACTGCTGGCAACAAAAGTGAGTACACCCTTAAGTGAAACTGGCCAAATTGGGCATTATAAGTTATTTTCCCTCCCCGGTGTCATGTGACTCGTTAGTGTTACAAGGTCTCAGGTGTGCATAGGGAGCAGGTGTGTTAAATTTGGTGTTATCACTCTCACTCTCTCATACTGGTCACTGGAAGTTCAACATGGCACCTCATAGAAACATAGAAACAGAGCGAGTCAGAAGGGGCCTCCCGGGCCATCTAGCCTGACCTCCAGCACCAGCTGGCTCCGCTCACGACATGCCCACCATGTGGACGTCCAGCCTATCCTTGAACACCTGCACCGATGGGGCCTCAACGACCTCTCGTGGAAGCCCATTCCACACCCTCGGGGTCCTGACTGTCAGGAAGTGCCTCCTGGCATCCAAATGGAACCTTGACTCCCTGAGCTTTGCTCTGTTGGAGTGCATCCTGCCTTCCTCTGCAGGAGAGAACAGGTCTCTACCCATCTCCATGTGACATCCCCTCACATACTTGTATGTCGCCAACATATCCCCTCTGAGTCTCCTCTTCTCCAGGCTGAAGAGACCCAGTTCCCTCAGTCTCGACTCATACGGCATCCCCTGCAAACCAGCCGCCAACCTTGTGGCCCTATGCTGCACTGACTCCAACCTGACTATATCCTTTCCTGGGTAATGAGGGGCCCAAAACTGAACACAATACTCCAGTTGCAGGCGCACCAGAGTCGTGTAGAGTGGTAGTAATACCTCTCTTGATCTAGAATCCGCACTTCTGGCTATGCAACCAAGGGTGGCGTTCGCCCTCTTGACCACCACATCACACTGCTGACTCATATTTAGTCTGCAGTCAACCGGTACCCCGAGGTCCCTTTCAGCCACTTGTCACCTAACCGGTACTTATGACAGCTATTCCTATGCCCCAAGTGCAAGACCTTGCACTTATCCACATTGAACGCCATCCTGTGGTCTCCTGCCCACTTCCATAGTCTGTCCAGATCCTTTTGGATCTGGAGTACCTGCTCCTCAGTTGTGGCCACTGCTCCAGTTTTAGTGTCGCCTGCG